AAAATGAAACAAAAGCAAAAGCAAATCGATAAACAAGTTTATTCCTGGATGTTCAAAACAAGTGCGATTGAATTTCTCCGAACATTCTGCTCTTGAAAGTCCCCTTTTTCATGCTATCCCTACAACATATCGCGCTATGTTTGTTAATTTGTTTGAGTTTGCTTACTACCAACTATCAGAACCACAATATCTCACAAACTATGCCAATAAATCACGTCTATAACATTCGTTTTGAGCGCCGGCGCGGGGGTCACTTCCTTTTTCAGCAAATCGGTGTAAACTTGCACTGACCATTTGATGTCCTGATTACGATATCCGTTTCATCGCTGGCACCATTTGACGTCACCCACTTACTCATCAAAATCCGTGAAAACGTACATGCTGGGAGCACCTGACACCGTGATTATGGATATAACATTTCTTTTTAGTGCCCCGCTAATCAGCGCGGTTACGGCGCCGGCGCCAACTTGGTGTACAATATTTCCCCACCAACCACTTATGGGTAATTTGGGGCTCTGCTCAAGAACATAAGATCCATTTATGAGCGCCAACATATTTAGCTCACTACCAAAGCTAAGTTATGCCAAGGATAAGAGCCTGTGGAGAGGAGAAGTGATTTTCTTCTCACAGGCTCAAGGCAGGAAGGAGCGCACGATTGGAATTGTGCTATTTTTGCATTCAGCGTTGATAGCGGTTGTCATGTCATGAGAGCCAGCAAAAAATCCCATATGCAAAGTTTAAGCGAAAAAAAATCGGTTTTTTGGGGTTATAACCTTTGAGTGCCATTTGTTCTGATCCAGAAAGATACCCGTCTCCCCAAGGCTACAGACTGTGAACCCCATCTACCCAGTTGGTATGCTTCAGGTTCTTCAGTTCGGAGCCGCCGACGCTAATAACCTCCGCGGTGAGTAAAGAACTCCTTCCTCTTTCGGTGGTTTTCTTCTTGCACGGTAAGCTCTTGTAACCGTCGAAGAGTCAAATGACCCTCTCGAGGTTATCAGCGGAGCCACCAGTATGGGTAGTTCCATACTGGTAAGACGTTTAGGATCAATACGGAATTCCGCGCCCTTGAGCAAGCGCTAAGTAGCGCCTTTTCCAAGGGTGGCGCCCCTATAAGGCCCTATCAAGCTGAAACACACCAAGCCAGACGCCACGCGCCCGCCCGCCCACGAATGGACGACCGTACCTGATGCTCGTACTTGCTTCATTTGCGAAGTAAAATATGGAGCGAAGGGATTGAAATGAAGGGGCTGCGGTGCATGAATAGATATGTGGGTACATACACGCAGCCTTACCTTACCGCAGCAGGATGCCTACGGAAACTCGTCCGAAATTGCTTTTCGAGTCATTAAGAACGAAGGCTTTTCTTCGCAGGTTTTGACCGTTTCACTTCGTTTTTTCGCCATTTTCTCTCTATCTAGCACACTGCTTTCTAGATCAAGTACCAATTTATCGTGCCATAGCCTTTAAGGTGCAGCACTTATATGTGAACCAGAATCTCGCAGCGAAAACAGAGAGATCGAGGAGTTCAAAACAGCAGTTAGTTATACTAGCCTCAAGTCCTGTCCCAATGTACTTTTGAACAGTGAAAGAGGGCACGCCATTACAGCTGCGAACCCATTTATCTCGCACAATGCAACTGCCAAGATCCTCGAGTGAATGTACAAAGTGTATTCAAAAGTTTTCCGAACGAAATCATTTCTTATCGTTAGTCTTTAAGATGTTCGAAAAGAAACAAACCTCAGTGAGTTCGTCTACAACATCATCTTCTTCCTGCCAGCTATGATTCTGATCTGGAGTGACTCGCAAATTTTGCTGTAATTTTTATACAATAAAATCACAGCAAGAAGGCCTAGTTCCTTGACACTCACAGAAACATCTGAAGACTTTTCCATTTCGTATGGTCCTTGCTCATCAGAAGTTTCATAAACACTCTCTTCATCAAGCTGCATATAAAGATCATGCTGGAAAAATTGTTTGAATGAAGTATAAGCTCAAAATATCATCATTTCATACTTCCTGCTGAATATCGTCGCAAGATGATTGCGCCAGCTCCTCAACTGTGTCACCGGTCCCATCACCTTCCTCGCTTTCCAAGTTCTCTAGAGCAGTAATGTATCCATCCAAGTCACCTTCCTAAAACAAGGAGTTTCAACCTCAACCACACCAATTTCATGACCTTCTAGGCCGTTTTTATACAATTACTCCGAAGTGTCGAACAGTTCCCAGAAAATGAATAAAAGGATGAACAATGAAGTTAGTTGCAGTAACACAGAACTGTTAAAAGTGCGAAACCAGGAGAACCGGAGTACTGCGCGAAAACTATAATTATATCAGCCAGGCGGAGGTGGTGTAGTGACAAGTGGCGCGCTTACCACTCGCGCGGCGCCGGGTTCAAATCCCGGGTCGACTCCCGCCCAGGCCAACCAAGCCTTCTACCCTCCGGGGACGGTAAATTGGTACCAGATTCGTCTGGGAGGATAAAACACTGACTTGTACATCGGCTGGCCACCGCAAGTCATTGTATAGGCCACATCGCATTCAATAAGCCACTACGATTCTGAATGGAAGTAGAATGCGTGCCGCATCCCACAAAGGGATTGATCAACGGCGAAGACTTTATCCTTTCGAAGTATTCTCCAGCTTCTCTCTTCTTGCAACCTCGGCATCTTAGTTGTAAGTCTTTCAGTTGTTGTGTGCCTTACGAGGTTGATAGGTGGAACATTTATTAATGGCCTAACGTTTCGATTCAATCGTCGTCTTCAGTCGTCTTTAATCGTCTTTTTTTCTCTACTAACAGCGCTCTGGTGTGGCTGCGGACCTATCCGCCAAACGGTGGAACAACTGGCCTCTGAAGACGACGATTGAGTCGAAACGTTAGGCCACTGAATAAATGTTCCACCTATTAAGGCACAGAACAACTTGAGACTTTGTCCTTTATCAGCCAGGCGATGTTCGGAGAGATCGTATGATCCATCTGCATTCTCTATCAATGGCAGGAAGAAAAAAAAAACGGATGGAAGAGAATAGGCTCGTTCCATGCCTCCTCACACCGCACTTGTTTCGACTAATTCTTTTCACGGATTTCTCCGTAATCATTTATTTTCCGTATTTTCACGGTAAGTTCTTTAAAAAATGGAACTTTTCTGAGGACAAAAAAAAACTCGCGCCTTATCGGAAATTACAGAATCTGAATTCATTACCTCAATTGCTGTAGCTTGCTTCGAAAATAAAATTCAATTCACAAGGGGTCATATATGAAGTTCTCATCAATGCTCATGTGTTCAAAACAATGACTTGTAATCACAAGAATGCTGAGTTATGGGCAAAAGTCGTGCCCCAGGCGGGAGTCGAACCCGCACCTCACGCTTTCCGGGCGAGTGCGCTATCCGTTACGCCACCAGGGCCGCTTTTACCCTCTCAGCTCAACACCTGGGGTTCGAATTTTGCCCATAACTAACACTAACATTATTGTGATGACTTTTGGAACGCGAACTGCGGCGTGAAACAGCATTTATCACAACAAAATGACTGGGTAAGGGCCCTGGTGGCGTAAAATTGCAGAGCCTTCGGCCTAGGGCTCATTGCCGATATCTAACGATTACGGCTGACCGGCTCACCAAGTTAAACGTGTGAGTGCTGTAAGGCTACGGCATAAAAGCCGTTAAGCTGAGAGGGTAAAAGCCCTGGTGGCGTAACGGATAGCGCACTCGCCCGGAAAGCGTGAGGTGCGGGTTCGACTCCCGCCTGGGGCACGACTTTTGCCCATAACTCAGCATTCTTGTGATG